CAAGAATACAAAACAATATTCTAATATTTAAGTCACTACTACAGAAACTGCTGGGGGTCAAGACTGAATCTGGCAGGGAATCGTTCCTGACTGAGAAGAATTCTGGAGCGTTCCGGTAAACACTGTGTTTGCTGAAAGCTACATCCACCCAGGAACAGCACGTTTTTAGTGATGGTACCTTTAATCAACACTTGGAAAGCTCACAAGCTGCCTCAAGAAGTAAGGAAGCAGACACTTGAGAGATCTGATCGAACATCCTGGGCAATCAAGAGAATGGCAGAAAAAGGGAGAGAGGTTTCAATTGCAGACTGCAAGAGCTGGGCTAGCACCACAGCCTGAAGTTACCTATCAACAGCAGATGTTTAGTTGTCCTTGAGAAGGACAACGTGAATGAGATGTATGGAGCCAGGACCACTAAATCCCTCCTTGGCCAGCATCAGATTGTAGCAGTTCAAAGATAGATCACTGAAGGTTTCCCAGAACTACAGAAATACCAAAGAGAGTTCAATATAAATTACAGAAGGATTTAGGCTGGGAGGGATGTCTGGAGGTCTCTAATCCAGCCCCTCTGCAGAGCAAGACTAGCTCCAAAACCAGGTCAGGTTGCTCTGGCCCTTCTCCAGGCAATTTTTAAGCATCTCCAAGGATGGAGATCCCACCATCTCTCCAGATCCTTTTGCAGGAGTAATCACTCCAACCCAACCTGAGCCTCACAGGTGCAGCGTGTCCATGGCTCCTCTAAGCGGAAGAGGAATGGAAAGGATGGGTGATTGTGAGTAGGAGTGGTAAATCCTGCAGAGAAGGTCCAAGGACCATGACAATCCTCTTCTGGTGATTCATACAATTTGTAAAGCTAGGAGTCTAGGCTTACCTGCCTGAGACTTGGGTCTCCCCTTCTCTCCTCCTCTCTTCCCTAGGTGGGGTTTGTCACTGAATCCAATGTCCCAGTCAGGTGCTGACAAGCATTCACAAGAGACCTAATAGTTCACCCCTGCCCGTGGGTGAACAGGCTGTTTCTATCATCCACACCACAGGAAAACATCCCATCACCGCATGTGGCTGCAGCTCTGGAGCCACCAAATAGCATTCATGTGTTGGCAGAATCTCTCTTTGTAACAACTACAAGAAGCGGCTGCCATAGAGAAAAGAGTTAATGGAAAGTTAAGATTGGGTGGGGTGCGGCTGGGGTCACACGAGCCTCGTTAGTTACTCAATCAAACCCGGCAGATTCATGTACAAGGGCCCTTACAGCACTGAGCGGCTGGCAGACACCGCCTGCCTAAGCCTCTGCAGTCCCCGGACAGCTCTTGCAATGCTGGCAATGTATTTTTGCACTTTAAGAAACACCCACACAGTGAGTGGACATGGGAAGAGCTGAGAACATGGAGATCCTGCCCACAACATACCCCCCTCCAAGACTTTGCTGCAACACGTCTCCATTTTTGCATCCAGGCTTTGCATAGCTCCAAGAACGGGAAGGTTTCACAGCCTGCAAAATGCTGGTGCCAGAAGGATGTATCGTAGGGCTGTGCCTTGGGCTACGACGGAGGGATTGAATGTTCCTGCAGGGCTGGATTGCAGATATAGTTTGGCTACAGAAGTGTGGCTGGTCCGACAGGAGCATGGAATGATGGCACGGAGAACAGAGTGCTGAATTGATATTCCTAAGTCCTGTGATCCACATGTTGCCCCCTCCTCCTGCCCTGGTCTCTGTGATGCATTTTCATGGGATGCTGTAGCACGCAGGCCCCTTTCACCATTCTAGAAATCCCTGTTCATCTGGAGTTTTAAGATCATGTAATG